TAGTTTGTGTCGGCAGTACCAAATTTTTCAGCCGGATGGACTGAAACTCGATTTAAAACTAAGCTCTGAAGATGAAATCACCCTGCAGGATTTTGGCGGTCATACAGAAAGGCTCCCTTACAAGCCCGAACACTTCATAATTTACGCCCTTTCCCTATTGTCAAGTATCTATCGCATCGTCTCACGTCTCAGTCTGATCACTTACCGGTTCCGGTATGCCGAGATGTTGCTGAAAGTCAACACTACGGTTGCATAAGAGTGAATTTTTTTAAGACAGTGCCATGTACAGTAAAACTCCTCAGGGGCTACCCATGGGAAATAAACAGGAAGAAAGAAAAGAGAACAAAATAATAATAATAAAATGACCTAAATCATCCAAAATGGAATTATTCAAATATAATTTTTTTTTTTTGCCAGGGCTAAGGCTCGATTACCAGCGGCTGCTCGAGAAAGGAGACCGCACTCGAGTGAGCGGCGGACATCCAGCCTAGCAGGGCTCCAAAACAGTGAAACATTAATGGGCTCCGTGAAAAAAAAAATGCGTTTGTTACGTCCCTTATCAGCGTTATACATATAGCTAGTGTAGTTAAGACTGTGAGCTCCTCGTCGGGGATAAGATAACAGAGGAGTAGAAAGAAACAGAAAGCTTTCCTTCTCTCCTCCCAACCCCCCGCCACCCCCCTGCTCCCCAATGTTCGTACGGAATGAAATGGCCGCTTCTTAAAGATTTGCTGCGAATGATTGTCGGTTGATTCCCAGTGATTCTCCAACAGAAACCAGGAGATTCAGTATTTTGTTTGAAGAGTCTGTGACGAGATTTGGTCATTCCAATAGACCAATACGTACTATCACACCATACGTATATAGTTCACACTCAAACTTGACAAACAAGTCATATTACAGACCAGCAATATCACTCTTGGTGTGATGGGTAACCATACCAAGTAGTATAGATGTCGGTGTAGAATTTCGCGTGGCTTTTACGAGGAAAAAAAATACGTACTCATTTCGCACCTTTGTCCACTGATAAGAACAAAACATAGCATCAAGTTTACAGGACTGTTATATACCTTTATTATTAAAAACAAGGAGCATGTGACGCTTAACTCATATCTTTTTACACTCGTAATTCTTATTTTCACTATTTACAGATAGGATTTCACATTTGTATAAAAAGCACTCAGCAGAAGCGGGAGAATCTATCTACATATCAGACAAACAATGATAATTTTCAAGCCACATCTTTAAGATGGCGGAAACATTAATGATACTGTCACGTAAAGTGGCATACATACATCCTCAACTGATACAACCTGAAAAAGAAACATACAGCAACGTTCACATAGGTCTCCTTAGCAGCCAATGGTTCATCACATCGAACCGGCGGTCACGTGGTTCGTCACGCAAAGCCCTCAGGGGCTTTACGTGACGACCCACGTGATTGCGGCTAAAGTAAGATCATCACTAAAATCATAATGAGACTAAGGTTGGCGAAACTTTAAGAACATGCCCAACTCTACGATAAAGTTAAGATCGTTCTTTTGCAAGTTAATAGAAACTACAATACAATAAAATCACATGTTTTCAGATGCACTTTATTTTGTGAGACCGCTGAAAGGTATAGAGACATGTAACTAATAGAGTTCTTTCCTTTTTCTTAAGGGCCCATTAACCGATCTTTTCGAGCCGTTGCTAAGGAAAATTTATTCTCATATAACCTCCTCATTTTTAGTTACTTCAGAGTTATTTCATGTGTTTTAACTTTTTGATGATCAGTAACACTAGTGATGACGTCATCAGGCCACGCCCATGGTCATGTGACTAATACAGAAAAAAAGCAAAGGCTCTCAGGCAAATTACTTTCTCGGGATTTTTTTCATTGATTTAATATTTTCATTTAAATCCTCATTACGCTATGCATTGATTTTGTTTCATTTCTAAAAGGTCAGATTTTGAAAGCACTTCAAAATATTGAAAAATTCGTAATTTTCTGAAAAAAGCATGATTTTGAAAAAGAAATGCATAGCTATGTTGCCAACATTGGCTTTAATCGAAATTCGTCGAAAAAGGCTGGATTTAATGAAAAACCGGGTTTCCTTTAGCATTTAAAGAAACCGGAAGTGCGCCCGATATGTATTGGAAGTTACCCTATCAGCGCGTGCGCAATATACATTACCAGCGCACTTCGGGAAGATCAAACAAAGCCGGAGTTAGTTTTTCTCTTTCTATTGCTCTTGTTTTTCTGTCTTTCTCCTATTTTGTCTTTGCTTGTACTTTTTTTACTTTGCATTTTGCCAAACACAAAGAAAAACATCTAAAATGTAAGCGAATTTGCAAGTTTTTGAGTTGTTTTTATTTTCCGTGCTCAGGCTG